GTCTCAACACTCAAGGAGGCAAACAACATGAAGCACTCAGCTCCATCTCTTATCAACTGCTCAGCCTGACCTGCTGATAATATCACCTCATCCTCAAACTGAGGGAATACCAACTCTCTCCGAGCATAATCTATAAGGATGTGATGGACAGATAACCAATCTCGGAAGTGGATACTTATTCCTTATCGTCAACTTATTCAGTTGCCGATAATAAACACACAAATGGGCCCCACCATCCTTCTTTACTAACAGTAGCGGGGCACCCCAAGGAGAAACATTGGGCCTCACCATCTGTTTCTCCAACAAATTCTTGATCTGTCTCTTCAGCTCTACCAACTCAGCTGGAGCCATCCTATAAGAAGCCACTGATACTGGTCCTGTACGTGGTACTAGATCAATGCTAAACTCAACATCATGCATAGGTGGCAATCCCAGCACATCATCTAGGAAACCTCAGGAAACTCACTGACAATCTTAATACCAATGATGACCCTCTCCGTCTCAACACTCAAGGAGGCAAACAACATGAAGCACTCAGCTCCATCTCTTATCAACTGCTCAGCCTGACCTGCTGATAATATCACCTCATCCTCAAACTGAGGGAATACCAACTCTCTCCGAGCATAATCTATAAGGATGTGATGGACAGATAACCAATCCATCCCTAAGTTTATGTCAATATCTACCATGAGCAACATAATCAGGTTCACTCGGAACCTCCTACCAAACACCTCTATCGGGCATTTCACACACATCTCTAATGTCACCACAGAAATTGAAGCCGAAGTAGACACATACGAATCAATGTGCCATGCAGACACCAACAACCCAATCTCCCCACACAATCAACAGAAAAAATGAATGTGTGGCACCGAAATCAAATAGGAACATAACATCCTCATCTGCTGCCTTCCCCTTCCCCTTCACCAAATCTGATGAAGTGGAAGCCTCTACACCTGATAAAGAAAAATACTCTCCCCATAACCATAGGCCTGACTAGCCTCGGGGCACTCTCAGATGGAGTCAGTGGTATCTAACAATCTCTAGAAATGTGGCCTAGCCTACCACATCTGAAAAAAATTCCCCGAAAGGGAACAATCTCTAACCATGTGAGCTTCTCCACATCTGTAACACTACACCGACTATGCTCCACCTTGAGGAGTAGCAGGACGAGGTCCCCTACTAACAGCTGCTCTCTGAGACTGAACAGGCCTATCATAGGGTCCCCTTTACTGGTCTCCTCTCCTAGATCCAGATGATCCCTCCTGAACTGTAGCAGCCTTGCCGCTGCTACCACCACCCAAAATCTCTCAACAGTCTTTGCCTTCTCAACCAAGGCAGGAAACACCTCTATGGACATAGAGACTATGACCCTCTTCAGCTCATGCCTCAACCCCTCTGTAAACTTTCTACATCTCCAAGCCTCAGATACGACCTGAGAGTAGAAACGAGCCAGATGCTCACACCTTATAGCATACTCAGAAACAGAAAAACTTCGCTGATGTAGTCTTATGAACTCAACCTCCTTAGCGTATCTAACGTTGTCTGGGAAATACTTCTCTTGCAGTACAGGCCACCGCGTCACTTTTAAAATGACTACCTTATGACTGATTTTAAAACCCCGATTTTAAAAGTCATTTTTGTACTAGTGTTTCTTTCCATATAACAAGTAAGAGTCTTTCTCTTACAAGACCACCTGCTGATTGCGCACCCCTCTTCTTTCTCTTTTTGACACTCCTCTTCTTCTTCTTTTTTCCCGCACCTTACCAACTTGTTTCCTTTAATTTAAGTATAGAATTTTATCAACTATTCTTTGAACAATAAAATGTAGATTATGAAAAATCCTTCCATGTGATTTTTTTTTTCAATATAAAATTTGTTGTTTAATGGTCAATTCAAAGCCATTGTAATTAGTGTATTTTATTTTTCAATAATTATTAAATGTATTTGTCAAATGAAAGGTTTTTTTCAATGATTAAAACTGGTTAGCTTCAAATATATTAATGTTTAAAATAGAATACATTGCTTTTAATTTTCTCAATCTGCACTTGTCACTAAAATTTGGACGTTGGAGACTTGTTCTTGGCATCTTGTTTGTTACAGTATCATACTTATATAAAAGAAAACAAGTGTGCTTATTGTGGGCTACTTTCTATGAACTATTTTTTTTCTCTCTTTTTGTTTGTTTTTTTCTTAATTTTTTGAATGATAAAAAAAAGTTTTTATTTTTATTTTTTATGATTAATATATTTTATTAAGTGGACAATAACATTGATCTAAAAATATTTAGTATATCATTAATTCTTTGATCGATAATTATGAAGTGTTATTATTTATTTATCATTTCATGAATAAAAAAGTATTTATTATATACAATTAAGATTCATGATATATTATATATAAATAAATATTATATTTAATATATAAGTTACATTTAAAATTTGTATGAATAAATATTTTTAAATATATCAACTATATTTTAAATTTATGATAAATAATTGATATTGTTACATGAAATTATTTTTAATTGTTAATAATTTATTTTAAAATATTAAAAAGTTAAAAAAAATCCCCAAAACTCACTTCATTGAAGAAAAACACTTAAAAATGCTATCATTAAAGTGAAAATTTTAAAAATGTTTTCAGACAAGATAGTTAATCATGTATAATACATATGGGTGGATTAATGATAAAATGAAATAATATTTTATAATTTAATTAGAGAAAAGTCTTTCCCAACTGGGGGCATTTTAAACATTCCACTCTTAATTTTTTATTTTATTTAATTTAATTTAGTAAGTTGTATGAGTTACCCTGTAATTTGTTTGCATTTTTTAATTCATGTAGTTATTTTTTTATTGACGAATTGTGTAACGCGGTTGGTTTCTATACGTGTGTTTTATATTATTATACAGTTTACTTTGATATTGCTTGAAAGGAGTTAGTAATGAGATATGATATTATAAAATAATAATAATAATAATAATAATAAAGACAGTGCATACTTAGAAGAGAAAATGATGGGACTATAATAAAAAAAAGGAAAAAAGAAAAGTCTTCTTAAATTCGTTTCTAAAGAGATAATCTAAAGTAAAAAATAAAAATTAAAAAGATGGAGTATTATTAATATAAAAAGATGACGTGCACAATAAATTAATATGAAAGAGATCCAATTGAATTGAATAAAATGAGAGAGTAGGAGAATAATTTGAAAAAAAAAATTAAAACGATTAATTATATTTGAAAATAATTAATTCTTTTACAAAATAAGAGAGTATTTAATTCATAAAATGTTGTATTTGTAATAGTTTGGACTAGAATGAAAGGGATCCATATATTTATATATTAGACTGTATAGTTAAGAATAATTTATATAAATTTATTTGTACTTACTTATATAAATAATACTTTTAATATTTCATTACTTAAGAAATCGATAATTAAGTATGTTTGACTTTGAATAATTTATAAATGATTGACACTTTATAAAATTTATTAAAAAGTGTGTATTTAAAGATAAAGTCTTAAAAATTATTGTTTTAATTTGTAGAAATAATCAATGATCTTAAAGGTGTCTGAACATCTAAAAAATAATTACTTATAAAGGATTTTGAGTGTTTAAAGCTTTTAACCAACAAAGGATAAGATATACGATGGAATAAAAATTTTATTTCTAAAAATATTTAAGATTATGTTTGTTTATATTCATTCCTAGATTTTTTTTAATAATTAGTATTTTAACTTATGCATGTTTATTATATATAACAAAATTTACATATAAATAAATGTTATTTTTAAATATATAAATTATATTTAAAATTTGTATAAATAAATACTTTGAAACATATAAATTATATTTTAAATTTATGATAAATAATTTATATTATTATATAATTATTTATTTATTAATAAATTATTTTAAATGTTAACATTTTTTTATAAATAATTAAAATCAATAAAAATTAAATTAAGTAAAAAAAATAATAAAAATATTTACAAATTTTTTCGTCAAAATAAAATTTCTAAAAGTTAAAACCACTCTCATGCAAAATATCGGTTTATGTTCAATATATAAAAACTAACTAAAATAACAAAAAGGAGTTGTAATGAAAGTTATAATTGTGTTATAATAACGTTCTAAATTTCAACAAAAATATAACTTAAATGATGATATAATTAATATTTTAACATGTAATTGGAATAGCTTAAATGTTTAATATATAAAGCTAAAATTTATAATAAACTGTATATAAATAAATATTACATTTAAATATATAAATCATATAATATTTAAAATTTGTTTAAATGAATATTTTTTTTAAATAAATAAGTTCTGTTTTAAATTTACGATAAATGGTTTAGAATGTGGCGGAAAATTAATTTTAATCAATGAAAATTTATTTTCAAAATATGAAAAATTAAGTTAGAATTAAATATGATAAATATAAATTAAAATAAATTAAAAATTAAAAATTTCTAAAAACTCCATTATTAAAAAAAAACACATCTAAAAATGTTTATACATGAGATATTATTCATATTTAATATATAAGTATAAATAATTTATATTATAACATAAGATACTTTAAATTATTAGAATTTATTTCAAAATATTAAAATTAATTTAAAAATAAACATGATAACTATAAAATAATATAGTTAAGAAATTTAGAAAAATTTAAAAATATTTTGGTTGAAAAAAAATAAAATGAATAATCATGTTTAATATACACAAGTAAAATACACACCTGAAAATATATTTTTTAAAATTCATATCAGACATAAAAAGATTTCATTCCCAAAACACACGTTATTAAAAATGGAGTTTTAACTTTAATACGTGAAACATAGGCATCTAAGTTGTAACAAACTGCCCATAATTATTATGCATGAATGAGAAACAACATTTGCAAAGTGAAAAAAGGAAAATAAAAAAGAAATTGAAACACTTGGCAAATGCATCATCTTGTTGAATATATTCATTGAGATGAGACAAATTGGAATGTGTCTGTGACCGAGATTTGCGTCCAATGACCAACCTTTCTCCACCTTTTGCCTTTGGGGCTGTCTAGTGTCTCTAGTGCTTCTCACCTTCCCTTTCACTTTCATTATTTCTTTTCCATTTCAATTTTTGAGTCAACATATTAACATATAATAGACACATTCAGATTCATCCTCTCAGTCTCTCTATACTTGTACCATCACGTGTTGAAAAGTCAAACCCCCACAATCCTTTTTCCTCCAAAGTTTCATTATTTTTCATCTTTTCTCATCCAAGGTGCGAGTTTTCCCCATTGGGGTGCCCTCAATTGCCGTGCTACTTCAGATCTGTTTGCGTGAGTCTTCTTTCTTTCTCCCCTTTTTTGTGTTTCAGATTCTGGGCTTTTGTGGGGTTTGTTTTTTTTTCAATTGCATTGGTTGCATTAACTACTTTTGGTTTTTTATTGTGAATGTGATGCATGCAGATTTTTCTTGTTGAGCAAAAGACTGAAGGATTGTGTTTGTGTCAATTCACTGTGGTTATGCATTAAAGTTGTGATTTTGAAGGATTATAGTGGTGTGGAGGTGGTGGGGGGTTTAATCTAAATTATAAGGTTTGGCTTTTGGGGTTTCGGAGAATTCATATTTGAATAAGCGAAGATTTTGAAAATGATTGTGAGGAAAGGCATGGGACGAGTAAAGTCAATGCTTGTGCTGCTAATGGTGCTTCTGTTTACCTTTGCCACTTATAATTTGGTAACTATGATCGTGGACCATAAGCCAGGAGGTTTGGGGGCAGCAGAAGGGTTGGAATCTTCGAATAGAAAAGTGATGGCCAAGTCCAATTCAAAGTTTCATGTTGCCGTGACTGCAACTGATGCTGCTTACAATCAATGGCAATGCCGGATTATGTACTATTGGTATAAGAAAATGAAGGACATGGCTGGATCAGACATGGGCAAGTTCACCCGTATTTTGCATTCCGGAAGGAAGGACCAGCTGATGGATGAGATTCCTACTTTTGTGGTTGATCCACTTCCTGAGGGCTTGGATAGGGTAAATGTTTTTCTGTTCCCCCCTTGCTCAATTTGTATCTTTTAGCCCTGTTGAACTTGCTTGTTTTTTGATGACCTAATAGCAAATTTACAAATACTTACATGCATAATAAGTCGATTCCTTTAGCAATTGTTTGGTTAAACAATACTCCTTCCAGTCCTTTTTATAAGATATAATTACCTAATTCACTAGGATCAAGGAAGTTGGTTAATTTAGTTGATGGTGTTGAGTTTGTCCTAAAATTACCCCTAACATTAATGAGAACTCTATTCTACCATATACTTATTGAATTATAAGAAATGATTTTAATTAAGGATATTTCTGATTTGGGTCTTATAAAAAGGATTGGAGGGAGTATGTTTTAATCTGTGCCAGCTAAAGAGAGCAAATTGTTACAAATGCAATGAGGTGTGTGTAAAGGGAAAGAAATACTATTGGTTTATATGGTGGTTTTGTTTTAATATCTTGAATGTTTTTTTGACTACTATAGCAATAGTTATTTCAACTATTTGGTCTTCTGCAATTTAATCTGCCTTATAGTAGTAATATTTGTTGCTAGCTTTTGCAAGGTAGTATTAGAGCAAAAGAGTATTTTCCCTTTTACTGTACATCTTACTGTGTGTTTATCCCAATTTTTCTTGGGTATTCCAGTAGTATTTATTGAAGTTTTGCAGCCGAGGGAACACTCTTATCTAAACTAGTATGTGAACTCACAAGTCTCAATAAGTGTATGCCCAAATAAGCTTCTTTTGAATAATGAGTCTGGATAACCTTTATTTGCATTCATGTCTGAATGGAGTCATGCTGTCCAGTGGCAAGTTTGTTGACTTAACATGCTCCACACTGTTGACGGTTATCAACTCTATCATGAATGTCATTGTTCAATTTGTGATCTTTCTGTTATTCCTAGCAATTCATGCTGTAATCAAAATATATGTCCTTTTATTTTTTGGTGCAGGGTTATATTGTCCTAAATAGACCATGGGCTTTTGTACAGTGGCTGGAGAAAGCAGACATTGAGGAAGAGTAGGTGTCTTAATTATGATATTTTCTACCATTTTTATGCTCTCCAATAATAAAATCTAAGAAGCAGTTCATATGATTGGTGCAGATATATTCTGATGGCTGAACCTGACCACATATTTGCAAATCCTTTGCCTAATCTGGCTTATGGAACCTTGCCTGCAGCGTTTCCATTTTTCTATATAAAACCAGTTGAAAATGAAAAAATAATTAGGAAATTCTATCCTGAGGAAAAGGGTCCTGTTACTGATGTTGATCCAATAGGCAATTCTCCTGTAATCATTCAGAAGGTGAAGTCTCAATTAATAGTTTGTATACGGTGCTTGATTGATTAGTCTCAATTACTGTTATATCTATTATCACATTTTCCTGATTTTCCCACAAGCTACTTATTCTGTCATTTAAGGCATTGATTTTTCTTTATCATCAGTCTTTGATGGAGGAAATAGCTCCCACATGGGTAAATATTTCATTGAAAATGAAAGATGATCAAGAGACTGATAAAGCTTTTGGATGGGTGCTTGAAATGTGAGTATTATTATAGAAATTCAAGATTTGGGAACTTAATTTATTATTAGTTATCATTTACTGATATTCTTTTCATTTTATAACTTTTCCTGGACCCTGGTCTGTACTAATAGGTCTAACCTTCTGCTGCTTTAATTCTCTGTTGAGTAAAGGTATGCTTATGCTGTGGCATCTGCATTGCATGGTGTAAAGCATAATCTTCGAAAAGACTTTATGCTGCAGGTATGAATTGCTTGTGTAGTCTTGTATTTGTTACTTAAGGAAGTCATAGATAAGTCCATGACAAACATTATTGGTATGTTGCAGCCACCTTGGGACTTGCATGTCAAGAATAAGTTTATCATCCATTATACATATGGATGTGACTATAATTTGAAGGTAAGTAAGCTCATTTCTCATCATTACAACAAGAATGATGTGAAAGTAAGGTAGAGAAATTATATTTATTTGTTTAGTATTACATTTGCTTAGGCATGTCCATGTATAAAATGAGTTTTTCATGATTAGTTCTTATATGCATAAGTTATTTACTCATTATTTCATCCAGGGAGAACTGACATATGGGAGGATTGGAGAATGGCGATTTGACAAGAGATCTTATCTTTTGGGTCCTCCACCCAAAAACCTCTCCTTACCGCCTCCAGGAGTTCCTGAAAGTGTGGTAAGTCCATGCTTCAAATTTTCTAGAGTTCCTTGCTTTGAAATTATTAATCAAAGCCATCTTGATAAGGAGTTTTTGATGTTGGAAAGTTGCTATTTCCCATACAATCTAAATTGTTATCCTCTTTCTTGATCTTAATGCTTCAGAATATCTAATATCACTTGGAAGAAAGCCAGGTGATTAAAGTTTGGCCATAACCACAAATATTGATGTCTATGTAATCCTTAGAAAAGTGCTTCTTAGGGCCGGTTTAGGTAAAAAAAATTTATAAGCACTTATGGGGAGAAAAAATAGAAAGAAAAAAAGGAAATAAGCTTTTCTATAAGCTCAAATTAACTTATATTTAAACATTTGTAATTTTTTTGGAAAAGTTATATGATAGAGCTTCTACAAATTAACTTATAAGTTAATTTTAGCTTATGGAAAGATACATTTCATTTTTACTTCCTATTTTTCTTCCTAAAAGTGCTATTGGAGAAACTTATCCATTATCCAAACAGGCCTTTAGTATTGATTGACCAATCCTCTTTTCTATTGTCATTTGTGTGTTTTAAATCCTCAAAAAGGAGGAGTTTTGTTACTCTCTGTACGTTCACACTTCCCTTTCTATTTCAACCCCCCATCTTTTTAACTTTTTGCTTTGCTTTATTATCCCATAATAAGATCAGAGTTTCTTCTCGTAATATCTGAAGTGAAATTTTAGAATGTTGATTTTGCATGTAAAATTAGCAATAAGGAATTTTATGATGGTTCAGCTTTCTGACAACATTGTATTAAAGTGCATGTTGATTTAGCTTGTTAAATTAGCTATAAGGAATTATACGTAGCTGGAGTTTGTGGTGGCGAAGCTAGTAAAACCAACATTGTATTAAATTGCATGTCCCATCCTTCCATATCATTCTAAATTGTGCATTGAAAATGGTTCAAATAATTAAATTTACCAGAGCAAGTTACCATTGCAAAACCTAATAAAATGCTAATCATGTCCACATATTATAGAATTAGTGGACAAACACTGGACCTTAGTGCCCATTGGAAAATCAATTGAATAGAAAAGATAGTATGCAAGTGGTTAATAGAATTTTGATGTGATTTCACATAGTCTATGAAAACCTTCATACTAAAGGATTTTTAACTGAAGCTTCATTAATGCCATTTTGTTTTTTCTTAGTTTTTATCAATTAATAGATACTGCAATATTCAATTTTCATTTTCAGGTGCGGCTTGTAAAAATGGTTAATGAAGCTACTGCAAACTTACCTGAATGGGATTCAATAAAGAAGCTGAGGGAAAGATGATAAACCATGACGCCATACACACTTGATGTTAGTGACTTTAAGATGAGGACTACAAATACATGTCAAAATAGATTAGCTTAAGCAAATAGGAATTGTGATGAATACAAATGATATTTTGTGCTTTCTTTGAAAATATAACTTTTTTTTAATAGCCAGTTAATTTTATATAAAAGACATTTATTAAAAGAAATTTATAAACTATTACATTGTTGTACTTTGCCAACTGATTGTTGTCATAGTGCAACTAATGGAATTACATCTTATCCTTTTTTATTCCTCCACTTTTAGGGGTGATATTAATCTGTTTGGATACTGCCTCTCTTTACAAGTGTTTTTCTACAAGATTAAAGCACCAATATTGCACAAGCCCTTCAACTGCATAGCTACAATTTCTCTTCCTTTAAGTCACTCATGTTTGGATGAGGATTTTAACATTTCAAAATAATAATAAAAAAAATACATGAAATTTGAATGTTTTTAATTAAATTTATGTTATCCTAAATATTTTGTTTAGCTAAAACATTTTAAATTTGTATTTTAATTCTTAATTTGGATAGAATAAATCAATTTCCACCAAATGCAAAAAAAATACTTTAAAGTATTATTTTAAAAATTATAACATTAATATTTAAATTTACCAAAAGTTAATTAATTATTAATTTTAAAAATTTGAAAAATATTTTTAATAAAAGACTTTAATAATTAAAAATAAATTTAAATATTAAGAGTTCATAAATACATATATTTAATAAATAGAATTTATCATTGTAATCACGTAAGGACCTTCCCGAATGAATTTTTAAATTTACAGAATATTATAATATTCATACTTTGAAAAAAAAACCTTAAAAACAGCATTACAGCCAAAGGGGAGATTGAATGGATGGGTCCTCAAATGAGAAAATCCTAAAAGAGTAGTCAAGTCAAGTGTATCCAAAAGCTATAGATACCTAGCGATGCAGGTCATCCTCTGAATCCTTATCCTTAGCAAAATAGTCCTTATCGGTGCTGCAAATATTCAAGAAGGGAAAGTTGGAATCTCGTGACACTACAAAATATGTTTTAGTGAATTTTTCGAAAAACACTCATCAGAGAGAGGAATAAAAAACAAAAATAAAATATTTTTTTTTTCATAAATTAAAATTAGTTTATACACATTTTTTTGTTGTTGTAAAAATTCTCTCTTATTACCTTCTCTAAAATCTTAAATTAGTTAGTTTTAATTTATAAAAAAAATTATTTTAATTTATTTTTCTATTTTTCCTTTTCTAGACTTTTTTTAAGTTTATCCAGAAAGAGTTATAATTTATTGAAATAAAATTTTCCTAAAATAAAATTTTAGATGAACTATTAAAAAAGAGCTTTTACAAATTAGTTTCACAAATTAATTTTAACTTCTAGAAAAACTCTTTTCATTTCTTCTTTCTTATCATTCTTTTCTAGAAGTGTTTTTTTTTTTCCTATATAGAAATTCATCCTATTTCCTATATTACACCAATTGAGCCTCTGTCACAATGGAGTCTGATGATGATGAGATGGTGTTGGCATCTAGACGTTACCCGGAGTTATTGGGATTGTCAGAGTCGCAGGCAGGCTGTAATAATATTGAAGAATCAACACGACCCATTTCCTCATGATGCTTGTGTGTGTGTAGAAAGGAGTTATTCATCAAACACTAATTTCGAGCTTGGAACACTCGAGTTTATTTTATTTAAATTATCACACTCAATTTCAAACTTGAATTTATTTATTTAATTAAATAAACGAGTTAAACATTTAACTAGTTGAGTCCAAGGAGCTCTCAAATAGCTCAATTTATTTACAGTCTTAATCCACATTTGACTCGCTTAGGAGGGCTTTGTTGAAAGGATCGTAATCTTTCATTACTCCGCTTGAACCAATGACTCAATGGAAGCAATGTACGATCTGTGGTACTTGGAATTTAAGATAGTGAAGTGACACATCATCTATCTATCAGGAAATTACAATGTATAATGGCTAATTGCAGGTTTAGATTCACATCATTAAGGTAAATTTAAGTAAACATTGGACTGTTAAATTGCGTTAAAGAATTAATTCTAGTCCGAAATTGATAATATCTTTGGTTTGAATTTTCATTACGCACCTTTACCTTTCCTTTCATGTGTAGTCCAAAAAGATGCAAAAGCTACTTCATAAAACTTCAAATGATGCATGTCAAAGTAGTCCCATCGCACATCAAAATTCGCAGAGTTGAAACTTTATATAATTTTTTTACATAAAAATTATATTGATTTTTATTATTAATTTACTTTTATTCACTCTTCCTACTCTTTCAACTCTCCCTTTTCTCATCACCTTTTTTAAGCTAAAAAGTGAATTCTAACAAAACAATTTGCTCTTATTTTAAACTTTCAACTTTAAAAATAATTTAAAATAAAATAATAGACACAACCTAAGAATTCAAGAAGGAAGACTTCTTATTAGAAAGTATCAAGATTTAATGTCAAATATATTCCCTTTGTAAAATATTTTTTTTATTTATTGCTAGCAAAACTATTTTTTTTAATAGGAAAAACCATTAAAACTCCCAATTATTCCCTTCTCATGCTCTTAACACAAATCCTAAATATACCTAAAGTGCCATCAGGATTGAACCGTTTTGGAGCACTTAGGACCAGGCAAAAGATTCGAGCACTTAGGACCAGGCAAAGTCAAACAAACGGTATAACACAAGAATTTGCATACAACTACTCCAGGCTACGTATAAAAGCAATAAAACACAGCAACAGGAAATAGAGACAATTAAATCCATACTTTAGATAGATATATTTCCTAGACCAAGACAAATCCACAATCCACCATCCAACAGGGATTATTTATTTATAAGTTCGAGTAAAGCCCGACTAGGCAAAAGGGTGAAAGTGAACCGTATATAACTGCTTATATAAACACATAAGAACCTCAGCAAAGATGCAACCGCTAAACACTTGTACTTACTCAAGTATGCTTCACAAAGTCATTATCATATCCCAGTATCCAACTTAGACCAGCACTTCGTACCAACCAATCTTCCCAACAAGTTTGAAGCTGAGGAAGTTAAAAAAAAGTATCACATCATGTATCACCGGCAGCTAGATGATGGTAACAATTCTTACAGGCGCATGGCGCACCATTATGACATTTCCACTAGAGAACTGAACAAACCATAGTCATACCACCAATCCAAGAAGATACATACAAGCTCCAAGATGATTGGAATGTATTTATTATCCTCTATCCACCCTAAAGATGCTTGTTTATCTTCATTCACCCGGACTTGAGAGCTCAGCAAATTCTAGAATAATTTAGAAGCAAATTATGTAAGAGTGAATTCAGAGGTTAACACAATGACCAATCAACAGTTCAGAAGATACAGCCATGATTCCCAAGACTTCCCAATACTATTTACGAAGATAGTAATAGAAGCCAGGCTAAAACCAAAGCAAGGAAATTAGACACACAAGATGGGAATTTGAAAAATCAGGCAGTGGACATGTGTGGCATACAAATTATCCGAATTTCAATTTTTGGGAGTTTTAAATGTCACGCACGATTAAAAGAATTATTCGGTACCCACCTTTTGTAGTAGCAAGTTCCTGCAACATGTCTAGGCCAGATAAACTCCCAACAACATTTAACGACAAGGCAGTAAAATTGGAGTTTGACGGGGCACCAAAGGGATGCAGCACATTTGTAATAATCCTTCAAGGACCTCAAATACGTAATTATGTTAGCAATCCAAAATTTAAACAAAATGAAAGGCATCCTTCAAACAAACAGCAATAAATAGGGATGTTTATGGATTGGATCAGATCGGTTTTGATTTGAAAAATAAACTAACCCAATTACTTCCCTTTTCTTAATTTATCATCCAATTGGTTTTACGTAAAAATGGCAAGAATTATAAATTTATAAGTAAAAATATATACATGGGTAATTTTGATTTGGATTTCTTTTCAAAATCAAATCCAAAATCCAATCCAATCTAATAAAAAAAAATTGGCTTTTTTAATTTTCAATTTATTTGGTTTTCAGTTTTTATTAAATTGTATCAGTTTATGAACACCCCTAGCAATAAATACAGATGGGAAGCATACCAGCAATATTCTCATACTGACGAGTGACATCACACAAAGTATTGACCTGTCCAGATTGACTGTCCTTGAAATTGCTCAGGCAGCTGATTTCCAGTTGTGAGCAACTGTGACTGCAACTGCTGATTATGGTGTGCTTTTAAAAGCTCATAAGTCTGATAATCTTGCCAACCATTCTGTTTTTCCACCTGCAGTGTAGATGGAATTTGTTTTCCAGGAAAGGGAAAACTGACTGTCCCACTCAAACCATTGTTACCAACTTGCTGAGAATTTGAATAAGTAAGAGGACCATTTGGGCCTAAACCTTTGGTTGATGCAGGCAATTGATATCCATCCAACCAACTGTAATCATCTATAATTAGATTCCCACTAATGGAATCTGAAACAGTAGGTTCAATACCTTGTTTAGAAGGAACATGACTGAAGCCGGGAGGAGGTCCAAGGTGCCTAGAAGGTCGGCTGACTGGAGATTTTTTCAAACCAGCTTGCAAGGTAGATGATGAAATGGAATCAACTTTGGATGATATTGCAAAGTCTTCAGCTTTTGAAAGATCATGAGTATAAAACATATTGGTACCAGCACTTGCAGATTGCTGGGTAGGAACTGCAAGTGCAGCACGGTCAGAGATTGCCACAGCCTCTTGAAATGGTATGTTAGATTTCATCACGTGCCCATTCTCCATGAATCTAAGACCTTTCAAACTGTTAGCAAGAGATATTTCCTCCTCCAACCACCTAGAAGAATGTGGCTGAACTGGTTGTTGGTATTGAGGCACCATAGCACTAATGGATGCAGGTAAAGAAATTTGATGATTTGCATCATTGAGAGTGTTAGAAGCAGAATTAACATTTAATTTTATATCCCCACCAGAAGCAGTTGGAACTGATTCTACGCTTTCAAGGGGAGCTCGTGATGAGGCAACCACCATGTCTTCTCGTTTCTCAGCTACTATAGGTTTGAAAACAATAACCTCATCATCATCCTCTCCTTCCATATATTGATGGTGGTCTGGACGACCAATTCCCACTTTTGTATTGTCTACTATTGTATTGTCTTTCAATAAATCTTCTGCATTAGGTATACCTGAATGGGAGGGAATAACAAAATCATCTGAGATTTGAGGCTGAACACAAATTACAAATTTCTTTACCCTTGACTCAAAATATATAATTTTATGATCAATTCTAACAACATTTGCTAAAGCCTTCCCTGCAGCTAAAATCCTTTTAACACGAGCTTTCCTTTCCTTTTCACTATCACTTCCAAGGGAATTCTTCCTTGAAAAATCCAAGATGGTTTGTGCAGGGAGAAGCGGAACAAATCCTCTTAACTCAAAATCCTCCCACAAAGCAAGCCGGTTTTCAGTTTCCCCTTCTTCATACCTGCTCATATTAGTAAAGCAAGTTTCCTCTTCATCATCTTCAATAGACATGGGCCAAACTGAAAGTAGCTTGTTCAAGAAGGATATACAATGATTCCAAAATTTTGATCTAACAGTTGCCTGATTCTCATCCACGTCATTGCCTGCAGCAAGATCTGGATAACATGCCAACCACTCAACAAAAACCAAAATGCCTGGTAAGAGATAACTACAAGAAGGATCCCACAGCTGCATACATCTCTCTACTACTAAACTCATCAATTCAAAAGCTGCAGTGAATGCATTCTGAAGTAGAACAGCACGCTGCACAATTTCTGCATAAGTTTGACCTTCAGATTCCTTACTCACATTATGAACTGTAAATATGATGATGGAAACAAATCTAACAATGACAAGTCTATTCTCAAGTGTATCTGTTCCAAAATTCAGCTCTTCATCTTGCCCTGATGATAGAAGCTCATGCAGGCCAGTGCTAACAAAAGAGAGAACTTCAGTGAAGGTCTCAAGGCTATCATCATGACATATGAGAAACAAATAAAGGAAAAATGTCAGAATATAATAATCCTCAATAATTTTATGCATAGAATGATCGGATAGACTGTGTGCATCAATAATATATACCTTGTGCGAGTGAATAAGATTCCATTTAGACGGACAAGGCGGGTGCAAAAGGATTTGTAAGTGTCCCGTAGATTGGATGCTCCTTCACTTCTAGGGCCAGTTTCCACACCAGTGTCCCTGGTATCAAGTTTTGAATCCCCTTTTCCTCTCCCATTGACTGTGAGAGCTTTAATGTCACCAGAAAGCTGAGCGTAACTTTGACGATTCTATCAGTATTATAAAATAGATGGTTAGAAATAGTGCCAAAAAGATCATATCATTTAAAAGACAAAATGGGGAGAGTCAACAGCATACACAGCAGTATAAAAATAAACAGAGGATTAAGCTCAAGAGCTAGTTCTCCACCCCCAACCATGCCAATTAAACAAACTCCTTTATGTGAATATGTATGGTATGTTGCAGTTTTCTATGACATCAAATATAATTGCATACTTATAATGCATGCACAAACTCCACCTTAAACATGTCTGAACTGAATGACATAAATAGATCAACACTCAAATAACTTGCAAGCCAGTATGAAATTCACAACATAATCTTTTAATGTATTTAGCTTTGGATACTAAACACTAAGAACTAAAAAAGACTCTACTTGAAACATGATAATTGCACTTCAGTTTGAAAGTAAGCAAAAACACACCAAAGTTTAACACATAAAAAACAAAGAACAAGATACATACTTCTCAAACTATTTGAGATTTCTAAATGAAAAATGCCAAGCATTCCAAAATCAACGCCATGGTCATATTACCTTCTCAAATGCAACTACCAAATTATCTCTAGCTGTTGTAAATGGGCTATCCACAGCTAAACTCCGAAAATAACGATAAATAGCTGCCAACTCATCCCCAGAATATGAAGCCAATAAAGCAAGCTGAAAATAACCGACTTGTTAAAATGGAATACAATGGCAATGAACCATGACTTAACAAGAGATGTGAAACAACCAAAAGCAAAACCACGGCAGAGACAGGAATGCTAAAAACCTGGTGATGGGGATTTCCACCTGAAGGCCAAATAGATGCAGCTTGTAAATAGTAACTAGAAGCTGCTGCAAACTCACGTTTTATTGAGTCACCTTCCCCATATAAGCCTTTGTAGCGAGCAAGATCACCCAAGTATATCAAACATCGATGACAAGATATTAAACCTTTCTTCATTTCAGAAGATTTCTTTCCATCTTTCTCCATGACAATTTTATTCTCCGAGTCCTCGAAGTAACCAAGGGGAAGCCCATATTTTGCTCTGATTTTCATAATAAGATCATGGTAAAATCCAGTTGCTTCTGAAAGGAAAGTCTTGAACTGCAGCCTTATTTTTGTTATCCGGTCAGGTCGAACAGGACCTTTCCCTCCCTGAGATGATTTTGAGCTTACAGAAGTAAGAGCAGCATTCAAGTATGCCCTCAATTCCTCAATCCGCTTATAATGAACTTGCCACAGAGAATACTCAATATTAAGCTGCTCAGAAAAGGCATGATCCTCAAGGATTATTGCTTCATAATTCTCACGAATCTGCTGCCAAGCATTTGGATCTGATGGGACCTGCGCCTGAGCTGATCTCCGACGCTTATTCTCCAATTCAATGTTCTAAGTCAGAAAACATTGAGAGATTAAAAAGATATCTTTTGGATTTATTCCACAAACAAAAAAGAAATTCCTATGAAGTTAATTAGATGATTAACCGGATTCCTTCACATTAGGCCGATAAGGAGAGATTTATGCATATGAGCACTTGCTCAATAACCACATTTGTGAGATTGTCTGCTCAGTTAATGTCAGCAAGGGAGAAAGAGGAGTACCTTCTCATAAAGGCGTTGTGCACGCTCCCGTGATGAAGGAGCAGACACTTTATCCATCTCTTCTATATTGACTACACGCTAGCTGCATAAAACCTACAAATAAAGAAATCAAACAAATATGTCAGTTCAAAGAGCCAGGTTTCAAGTAACTGCACTGATGCTCGACAAAAAAACCAACTACCTCCACATTATTTATATGCAACCAATTTGAAAGTGAAATTCAAAGCTAAAATTCAATAAAAAAAAACACACAGTTACTAATTTGAACCCTTTAATGAAAGACAAAAGAGTAATCACAATTTGAAAATAAAGCTTGTTTCTAATCAGCACAAGAAGATACAGAGTCGGTAAAAATTCTACTTCATCAAATACGATTCCAGACATCGAGTTGAGCATTAAGCTCTGAACACATGCACAATCAGACTCTGAAACCAAAATTAAACGTATCAATCACAAAACAAATATTCCCTCTAGCAAAGCAATTGCACGAAATTCGTTTTAGGAAGGGAAAAACATTAGGGAGTACAGAAAATATGAGAGAACGCAGAAGCAACGACGCCAGCACCGAGAACGAAAGCCAGATCCGTGAAATTCAATAATGATGCAATAGGTGCGAAAGAATGAGAAGAAAAATACCGATAATCGATTAACGCATTGAGAATTGGAAAATGAGAAAGTGAAGAGCGGAAGGGGATCGATGAGAGGAAAGTGTTAGTGTTGGCGTTGGGTAGGGTTTGGTTGTGTGAGAAGAAGGTAGGAAGGAAGGAGGCGTGGAAGTGGTTGCTGTGTTTCCAAAGGGATAACGCGTCTCTCTCTCTATTTCCTACGCCTTTTGCTTTTCCATGCAGGCGGTGAATGTCTAACGACGCCGTTTCGACAACCCTTTTCAATTCTCATGTCACGTTTTACCTTCTCTTCATTTTTTTTAAATACACTTTTCGTCCTTTATATTATTTATTAGTGTTAATTTAATATTATTTTAATTAATTAAATTAATTTAGTCTCATATTTTTAAAATATATCTTAATGTTTGACCTTTCGTTTCTTCCGTTTAAATATATACTTAACAGATATGACACGTGTCATGCTATCATAACATGTGACATAACATCATGATACATGACATGATGACATAACACGTGGCATTATAACATAACATGTGTATTAAATATTTAAACAGAAAGTCAAATATTAAGATACATTTTAAAGATGTTGGACTAAATTGATTCAATTAATTAAAGTGAGACTAAATTAACACTAACAAATAATATAAGAGAGGATTTTTGCCTTTTTTTTAACTGTTATTTGAGTCTTTTTTCTCTTAAGATCCAATGTGTCACTTTCTTCGTCTTTCAATCTCTCATCATTTAATAAATATATTTTTATTTTATTTTTTATGCAAAAACTTAAATAACTTTATTTTTCAAGAAATATGAAAAAAAAAGAGAATAATTAAGCAATTTTATATATAGAAAAAAAATGTATTTAACAAACAGGAGAGTGTAAATAGCAAAAATATAAAGAAAAAAAAACTATTCATATGTTGGGCCGCGTCTTTGGACTTTTTAAACCCCTACTACATGGTTATGATACAATGGGCCAAGTTTTAACGATTCCTATTATTAATTCAATTTTTATTTTTATTTTTCTAACCAAAATATTTTTATTTTGCATTTGAGAATCTCTCGTATTCAACACCACCACCACCACCACTTCCGGCGACCATTTCCTCCGAATTCCGGCGACGCCACGCACCTGAAACCGGTAAACTCTCTATCTCTCACTTCACGTTTATCTTAATTTTTTAAGTTTTTTTCTGTTTACATTTTTGGATCGATTCGTTTCTGTTACTGAAACCAAAGATGTGAGATCCCACCGCTTCAGTCGTCTTCACTACGGTTTCACTTTTCGACAATCTCATTTCGCGAATCACTACGTTCGCTTTCTCTGAATCGCTCGGTCCAATTTCACGTTCAATTTCGAACTATTTTCTTCACCAGCATTATTCATAGCAAAAGCACGTGCTACGTTTTCATCGGCGTTTTCACTGAAGTAATAGCGTAGAATATTTTTCTCATTCCTTGTTTAAATGCTTAGCTACCGCGGAGGAGAATTGTCAATTGCGCTGCGAATCAGTGCTCTCAGTCGTTATTCTGCTGAAATTTGATTATTTAAAATTCGAGAAAGCTAGAAAATATTCTTGTAAAAGTGAAAGTGGCTATGTGGCTTGTGTTATTTTTACAAATTTCTTTTCGCGTTTGGTAGTTTCGGCTTTTTAGTTGTTAGTTTATTTTTTTATTATTTGCTTCTGTTTTCCATTTTACTAAACTGAGTTATTAACCGTACCCTGTGTTACACTTGCAGCGAATATTGAATGTGTGATGCAATGGTTTGATATAGTTTGATAGATCTAGTGCTTAGTACTGTATTAGTTTGTGTAGAGACTTCAATCCTGGTTTATAGGGCTTGGATTTTGATTATGGAAGTCTTGTTGGGTTGGGTTAAGGTGTAAGAAAGGGGAGTAGCCAATTAGCTTTCAATTGTTGAGCCCTGGATTGGGTATTGACGATCGAAGTTGCCAGCTTTGATCATTAGAATGCTATGCTTGATATGTGTGCAGATAAAATTTAGGTTTGGTTTTCATTTCTTTCTCGACTTGCATTTTGCCTTCAGTTTAAATGATTGGCAACTGGTGCAGTTTAGCTAAAGAAAATGGTGATTAATGATTATAAGTTTTTAATGCATTGTGCGGCTCCAAAAATTTGTAAAACTGAAAAACTGTTCTTGCATATTTTTTTTTATTTGAGAAGAAAGTAGTGTTATGAGTTGTTCAAGTTGACTAACTAATGCGGGCTTTCAGAATGACTGGAATTTTTGGTTTGACAGTCATACATTATATTCACATCTACTTCCTGTCCATGGATCATTTGTAGTTTCCCTTCTGCTGTACAGCTATACTTGAATTGCTAAACCATTGGGTTTCTTTGCTATTCTCTTAAATGTTTGTTACTTATATTGTTGCCTGCACTTTTTCTCTGAACCCAGGCGGCTTTAAATTTGAGATCTATTATGTTTGAAAATTATCTGATATTTTATGTTTAGAATCACATGCTTTGTTCAGTGGGAACTAAACGTTTTTTCATGCTGAATTCTTTAGTTGGTTTTCTCAGGATCTTTTCTTCGATTAAGATTTTCCATGGTGTTAGCAATGCTTCTTGAAATCAACCTGTCCATAATATGATTCACACTCATTTATTAACCCAGTTTGGTTATTTATTTATGTGTTTCAGCGAAGGCAGGGTGTTTGAACAACTGAATTGTTGGTAAAATGGTTTCCTTTGAGATGAATGATCGAAAGAGTAAGTGGAATATGATACTTTTGTTCTCATAGGAAGAATAATGATATTATATGAAGTGATCTGTTGTCTTTAATGCTTATGTGTAAAAAATAAACTAGTGTAGAGTTAACTATCTTTTCATAAATCACTAAACATATGCTGTTATTCAGTGGAAGAGTTATCTGGTTTTGCTTTATTTTAATGCCGTTCAAGGATGTGCTATAAAGCTCCCGCAATACACAGGGTCCATTTGTGTCTCAGTTTAAATAGAAGCAATGAAAAATAGAGGATATAGAAACATAATTCGTTACTGAATTCAATGAGCAAGAAGCTAGACATATTAGACATGATAGCCAATTTTTTTATTTAATGATGATTACCCAATTCTCTAATCAAAAGTAATAGTCACAACTATGATCGGAATTTTATCCCAAAAAAAACAAATCTTCAAATTGGTTACTTAAAAAGTAATGGCATCACCTAATGAAGCTAATTGACATCTACCAATACTAGCTTTGCTTATCACATTGTAAATGATGGTATCCGAAATCCATCATGCTGATTTTCTTCAGATTCGTGAGGAAGACATCTTTAAGACGTATGTTATTTGATTGCCCTAGTAAAACATGATACAGTTTTCAAGAAATATATTAGTATCTTTATGTTGTGGTATCATCCTGACTGGCAGAATTGATTTCACTAAATTGTGGCTTAGTTATTTCTCTATGTTACATATTTGATATCGTATTCTGTCCTATTTCTCAACTTATATTTGTTAACTTACTATATTCAATGTATGGGATTGGTAAATCATACAGAGATTGGATTAGGATTAACTGGCTTTGGTATATTTTTCTCATTTCTTGGGATTATCTTCTTCTTTGACAAGGGATTGCTAGCCATGGGAAATGTAAGATTCATTTATGAGTTGCCTGTTTAAGAAGTTGCTTCTTATTTGATTTTGCTTAATTACATAATTTCTGATGCCTTGTTATCTGGATGATGCTCAAATCAGATCCTGTTTGTTTCCGGAGTGTCCTTAACCATTGGGCTAAAATCCACTATGCAATTTTTCATGAAACGCAGTAATTTTAAGGTAAATCTGTTACCTGTTGATTTTCTTTTTACTTGGTGCCTCATGCTTCCTTCATGGTAAATATTCCCTGCTCACGTTTTTCTAAACTTCAAGGGAACAATCTCATTCGGTATCGGGTTCTTTATTCTCATCATGGGATGGCCTATTTTTGGCATGATTATTGAGGCCTACGGATTCATCGTATTATTCAGGTTTAGTGTGATTTGAAGAAATTTGTCCTGTTTGAGTATGTTTATATGTTCAAAAAATAATTATGGATTATATTGTGCAGTGGTTTCTGGCCTACACTGGCTGTTTTTTTACAGAAGATTCCTGTTCTTGGCTGGGTGGTTCAACAACCATTTGTTCGATCGGTATGTATTTACCTGACATCTAAGTCTTCACAAAAGCATCTAAAACATTCACCAGTCTGGGTGCTGCCATATTAATGATTTTCATTATATTTATCAAGAAATCTCAAGTCACTCTGATTGATTGGAAAATCTTGATTTTCATTTATAGATGTGAATGATAGTGACATAGAATAAAGAGGAAAAGCGGGCATATATAGAGAATGCCAAACTTAAGTCTTAAGATACTGAAGTTAGAACAAAGGGCTTTATGGTTTGGTTTAAAAACATTTTCACTTTTTCACATTCAGTGTCTAGAAAACTAAACTCTAAATGAGTAAATAGTGTATGCATTGGTGGTGAAAATAATTTTTACATTATCAACCAATCAAAAGTCACCATGTATGGTATAGAAACAAAGGGACTTCGACATGGAAGTACTGCCACACTTTCTAGATGTTGAAGCCCTTTGCATTTATTTGCACAAAATGCTGAAATTTCCAAACTGAGCTTTGTTAATTTTCTGTGCGCTTGCAGTTGTTTGACCGCTACAGAAGCAAGCGAGTGCCCGTGTAACACAGGAATCTACGAAAACATAATGTAATCACTAGCAAGTGCATTTGTATGTCGATGTAAAGAAAATACTCGTATGGATATCTAACTGAATTGAGTTCGCTTTTTGATGGTAGAAAATGATTATCATTTTATCATGGTAGTCGTTTAGTGGAAAGGAAATTTGCAAAGGGAGAAAAAGGTTTCAGTTTTCACTTTATTAGTTTGGCTCCTGTTGATTCTAATGATTGGTGCAATATCAACCGATATTGGGAGTGTTCAATTCCATTTAGTTTACGTTATTATTCCAATCAGAGACCTTTGGGGAGTGTCCCCGCCGAGTATCATGACGATGGCTTTTGTTCACACTTATAAAAGAAGTGTAATGGTTTTACATGATGTCGTTGCAGCAATATAGAACCATTCTCTCTCTTCCCTGTTTTTCAGTATTTTTTATGATGCAAATTTGAGGTGGAATTGAAGCAATGTCGTGAACTCTGCAGTGTAATTTACTCTAAATATTTGAGCCTTGATTACCCTGTCGTGAACTCTAGTTAAAACATAAATATGGGAGTTTCTCTGTTACACTAGTTATTTTACCAATACTTTTTCGTCTTCACATTTTCTTTTGAACTATTTTATTTCACCAACATATTATAATGCTGTAACTGCGCGGAAACAACTTACTCCACTAACTGAATACTATTAAATCTAATACCAAAATAACTTTACATTGTCTTATTTAACCTTCATCTTTTCTCACTTACACTTTTTTTTCTCTAAATAAAAATATAAAAATAACTATACATTTCACTTTTACGTGTGAAAGAAACATAAAAAGTCTCCAAAACAACAAAACAAATTGCTTTATCAATTTCACCGACAAGACGGTTAATCTCGTCACAGATAAGTTAAGATGGATAATTATTCATGGTTAACCATGACTCAATTCCACCAAACATGCCAAGTTTTTCATATTTTCGAGATGATTTTAGTTTTTAGGAAAGGCAGAGTGACGTATGAATAAAGCCGAGCGTATCCGTTAAGACGTGGAAACCAACCCATACTCGCATTCTGTGTATATTCAGAAACTTAATTCTGAGTAATTTTTATTTTTCAAACTTACAAAAACAGTATTTTACTTTCATTTCAAATCGAGTTTCTAGACAATCAAGGCAACACAATTTGATAGAACCCAATTGAAAGTGGTACAAAGATTTTTCGGTTTTTCTTTGACATTTGGGGGCTTAACAATTGTAAGTTGAAACCAAACATGGCCTTCCTTCCAGCTTGCTTGAAATGTGTGCAAAGAATAAAGCAAACATAAAAGCATCACAAACAACCTGCTAGATATACAGCAACAATAACAACAATCATTCCATAGGTGACGTAAACTGGCAATTACATGTCCCTATGTACAAAGAATTTGCCACAACAGTAATTAAAATTTCCTCACTTATATAGTTGTTTGTTCAACAAAATTCCCCATCTATTGACATGCCATATAATTACACCAAATCCCACCCCCTCCCCTAAAGAACTCGAAGTTATTGAAAAAGAGAAAACCTGATGACCAAAAGGAAAGCCTTTCATTTCAACTCCAATGAACTTCACTACCAAAAGAAAAAGAAAAAAATTAAATAGGAACCAAGAGAATGAAGCAGTACCAGGACCATAATGGATACAAATATATGCAATAAGTCAAAGGATATACAACGTTGTCAGCCAAAATTCTTCCCCACGGATTTTATGAAGCACCTATTTGGCCAGTCAACTCCACGACGGCGATGACGGTTTATAGACAAAGTCTTGGGAAGTTGTAGAGCCATAATTCAAATCAAGGTTATGGAGCTGTTCCATCAACTGTGACCGGCGTTCCTTGAAAAAATCGAGACGAGTAGTTAACTCTACTAATGTTGAAGATGCTACAGATGGATGTCTCGCATATTCCGCCACCTAAAACCAACGCAACTACGTCAGTTCCTAATCATTTGAAAGCAGATAAGGATGCTGCATAAATGTATCAACTATCAAAAACTTATGATACTCAGTTACTAACAAATCTCACAAAATAGAATGATGTTACTAGAATTTTGCATCCGACCTACTTTCCAGACAAATTTCTTTAGCTTAATTCCTACCTCTGCTGCCCTTGAGGTGGAGGGCACTGAAGCCGAATCGACGGCACCGAGATCATCTACCGACATGCTTGTCGATGCCTCGGTACTTTTGGAATCACTAGGACTTGACTCTATAAATTGCTTTCGAGAAGGCTGTCTACTACCATTACCAGATGACAATACTTGTCCTTTGATATTTCTCCAATCATTTCCCAACAAACTCTCCTGTATAAAATGAAAAGACAAATTTTACCAGTGTTATTGAAGAGTGTTCCAAACCATTAAAGAAGATATCATCGATAAGTAAGGGGCTAATTTTATCAACAAAAAAAAACAAATAATAATAAAATAGACAGATCACAAAATTAGAGAGGAAAGTGCTGCTGCAGGCAAGAACATAAATTCCTGATGCAACCATTCAATAGCCTTTTTCATGGTCATAATGAGAATAAATTTTAAAACCAAATCAAAGAAACGAACTAAAAAGGTTATTTTTCCATTATTGACGTTAGTGATGGAACTACTGTATTCATGTATCGTATCAACTCATTTAATCATTTAAATACCAACAGGAAGGAGTTGAAAAGGTTAGACAATAAGACATGCCTCAGTCCTTTGTTTCCTCTCGTGATTACAAAAGGCCAGGGTTGAATCAAAATCTTGCTGAAGAAATCTCCTGCACAAGTATAAAAAGAAAGTTAAATAACTACTAATGGAATTAATAAGTTCACATGGTTTTCAATTAAAAGGCAAGTCCCATGAAGTTTATAGAAATGCAGCAAGAAACTAGTGTTCATGCCCAGAAAAGGCAAACTTTGGTTAAAATTTCATTTGACTTACAAGCACAGGCATAGGATACAATTATACAAAGAAGCCTTTATAAGGGAACCAAGGAAAAAGAGAAAATTGAAAGATTACAACATTTCATCTCCAATTCAGAAAATTCCTGATAACAGCTCCAATTTTGAGTACTAACTATAGTGGGTACTCGGCCTTTTGAAGTTGGACGATGCCAGTAGATCCTTTGATATTTAAACTAGATTTGGTGTCAAATTCATGTGGAGCTGGCACCAAATTGAATTTTGAAGTACATAAAAAATCTTTCTTAAACTTCACACGCATATTCCTTCTCTTTCTTGTTATTAGAGATAACATAGGTCTGCATACTCACTGTTGAGGGTGATTTTGGGCATGTTGGTATCGGTCACCCACATCAGTAAGAGAACCGTAGTGATGCTGCCTTTGCTGATTAAGTTGATGATGGAGTTCCGCAACCTTCTGCTTCAACCTGGCCACATCAGCTTCAGCAAGTGCAATTTCCTCTAGCTCAGCCTTTGTCTATACATTAGCAGATTTTGTACAGATAAGTGCACTGAGAAAGCAATTAAAAGGGAAAAAAAATAGTAAACTTTACAAGAATATGAAAGCACCTTGGAATCCATGCCACGTGAACTCGAAAGCTGTCCTGAAGACATGCTCAAACCAACTTCCAATGCAGCTCTAAGATCCCTCTCAGCTTGTAACTGTTCTTGCAATCTTGAAACCTTCAGATTAAAAAATCAGTTGCATATTATTAATAGATCAAAATTAAGAGGCTATGTACATCCATTTGAAATAAAAATAAATAAAAACTTGAGAAAATATGGCAGAATGACAGTGTAAGGAAAAAAAAAATGATCAAGAAACATTTGCATTTAAGACTCCATTCCACATTGAACAATAATGCATTAAACTTTGTAGCAACTAGCAAATAAAAAATAATGGTGCTAGACAGAGTTGCAGTATAATAAAGAACAAAATTAACAAGGAATAAAAGACTTTCAGAAGTAACTCCCAAGGGAAATACTATATCTATCCAACAGGACACATGCTATTGAACCAAAAGAAAGATATGGTATAATTTTTGGCACTAGTGATTATAAAATCCTAAACCTTGGTCAACAGAAATATAGCTTCAAAAGAGCTTTAAAAAATGACATTAAGAATACAAAGGAAAATTCATTTTTCCAATCTGGAAAAACCTTCCAGCAAGTAGCACTTTAAATTAAAATCTTTCAAATGCCTCCATCAGTAGTGTGGAAATGCATTTTATTGGTAACATAAATCTTTGTAAAGTGGTTCAATTTTAGCAACCAATATCTTGTATAGATTGTAGTAATACACAGAAAATACATTAGAAACCATTTTTGGTTTTTGCAAGAGTATTTTACAAAATTTGAATTCAAGCGTTCAATAAATTTAAAGAAAAAAGCAGTGAAAATGAAGTCAGAAAAACCCAAAAATGTCCAGAAATGCCGCATTAAAAACAAGCAAATGGCAAACTAGCAAATCAAATTCAAACTGTCACAAGTCAAATCAATAAGTACATCTTGTTCAAGTGCCAAGCGCCGCTCGTGCAAAGCTTGTTTCCTTCTCTCTAAGCTTGCTTGTAAAATTGCATTGCCTCTAGCCTAAAATGAAAACAGGACCAATTGCATTAAAAAAAACATCTTCAATACAAGATTTGGCTTAAAATAAGTAGGCATAAGAAATCTACCTCCTTTGCAATTCTGTGTTGCAAATCAGTTTTTGCAATCTCTAGCCTCTGAATAGCAAGCCTACAGACATTAAAAATATTAGTTATTTGTTTTCAAGGATTAAAAAAAGGTGAAAAAATGGAGACAAGTATATAGCAATAATGCAAGAAGCTAGCAAAATATGGCTATAAAAGCTTATGAAAAAGCCTAGCCAGAGAGTCTAACATGACCTATTCAAAAAGTCGAAAAAAAGGCATTGAAGAATAACCCGGAATTGTACCCGGAATCGCAATCCAAGGGCACAATTTACAAAGAAAAAGAGTACAAAGCTAAGTATCTTACTCCTCTTCTCCGGAAGAATCAACTGATTCCACTGATGGTGTCTTCCTTGGCTGCTTAAATGAGTTAAATAAGAACAAATTATCAGATGCCAGGTATTTACCTTGAAAATTCAAAGCTACAAAAACTGGGAAGAAAATCAGTTTTGCCTCTCAACAAAAAATTTAAGTATATCCTGCCAGCATATTAAGTCTTTATATTTTAATTGCTATCTTATTGCAAGTATATTGTCAATGTTCATAAACGTCTTAATGTCCTATAAATGATCTAGTGTAAATGTGAATCCTGTAACAAATCACATTCTATATCCATGATGCGAGTTTAGATCCACAAATTTGCTAGGCACTAAATGGCAAAAAAATAACAACTCACATTGCTCCTTCCCCAGAATGTTGACCGCTTAGAGCTGAAACTAGCACTACTAGCTTTACCAGTTTGCTTTCCGGAACCTGGTTCACTCACAGGCATGGGTAAATGGCTGCTGGGGTCCATGGAAGATAAAATTTCACCCATGGATCGATACGATTCAGTGGAAGGCAACAAATTTGAAGCGTCATTCTCATCAACTGGGTTTTCACTCCCCTTTCTTTGCTTGTTTTGATCCTCAGACAGTGGGGCATCTGGAACAGCATTCAGATTAGCATTTTCAGTCTTGGCATGGTTACTACTGGAGGATCCAACATCTGAATCATCACCTCCAAATGCCTGCAGGTCACAAAGAAGAATTTTAAGAGGATAGAGGGGAAAGAAAATTACATTTTTAATCACAACAAGAGACTAATCAATACAAAAATCTGTTCCTAGTTTGATAAAAGATATATATAAAGGTACAACAACATTAATAGCTTTATTCAACTAGGTTAAGCAAGCTACATGGATCACACAACAGTTAAAAACTAAATTCTCGTGGATATAATTCACCATGAGATCCCTTCTAACAATTTCCTTCAATATCCTTTTTGGTCTTCCTCCACCCCTTTTCACAATTTACAAGGCTAAAAGCATGCCATCTACTCCCCACACTGTTGCATTCAATGAACTTCTTTGATCCGAGCCACCTTGAACAAACTTCTGTCATCATTTCCTAAATAGGTATCAAACCAATTTCTCCTTGTGTACAATCATTCCATATCATATATTTTCTTTCAAAAGTACTTGCAAATCCTAATTGTGACCCAAAAGCACTGATGATATTGAAACTCTTCTGTGCAACCATCAATTTTAAAGATGAAACTGTCTCTGATGGTTTTACATCCACCAGTCTCATTCCAACTCTTGTTAGCAATAATCTCAAATTGTTCTTTTGTCTAACTTTCCTTGTCTACCAAAGTTTAAATGCTGTTATGTCTAATTCAACTTTGTTTTCCAACATTTATGTAATGTTAATCCTTTTTCAAATCATGGTGTTCACCACCTCCAAAGACTTCCCTGTTAACATACCAATAGTCCAAGTACCAAACCTAATCAGGCACTGGTACACTACATTTGAGGACACTTTGCTCATTTTAACACTACATTTGAGGATCAATACAGAGAGACTAGCTCATTTAACATTATATTTGAGTCATACAACAAATTACTTCTAGGAAACAACTTAACATTAGCATGTATAGGATAATCCATTGAGTGATTGATGTTTGGGGTTTCAACAAGTTTTATGTTGACTGTTGAGGGTCTAGCACAATCATCCTTTCTTTGTCAATACTGGGACCAGTTATGGCTAAAAAATTGTAATTTCAATTTTTGGGATTATTAAATAGATCTCTCCTATCTGGCTACATCATAAAAACATAAAATTCCCTTGAATATACAAAAATGCTACAGCTAAATCCAGAGCTGGCAGGCCCAACATATTTATTAACTCACGTGTGGGATTGCAGACATTTTGTGATCAAATGCCATTCCCATCCTTCTCTACTCGACTACTATCTACCCTAATGTTGGTAAAAATATAAGAACACATTCATTTATGGTAGATTAACCTTCAACTCAAACAGTGTGGCAATTAGGATATTGAATAAAGGGAGTTCGAACAGTTATTAATTAGAGGGATATGATGGGCATGGCCTACTCGAATTCCCTTTATTCAATATCCCAACAGCAGCATTGAATGAAACTTGGATTCAGGTGAAGGAAATGAAGCTGTTCTCCCCCTTTTATCAAAATAGAAGGCTGAATCAGGGTATGAATAAAATTTGACCACAAGTTCCATGAACTAACTGCTAAGCTATATGTTAATGAATCTGCTAGGATTGACAACATCAAAAGTCTAGGCAGATTTTCATAATCAAAGAGATTTGCGTAGCAAAAAAGGGTATTTTTGGTTTGATAAATAAAAAAAAATACATCAGACACAAATGACAGGATCAGAAGAATGGACGAAATAAGACTGCAGGATATAACCTTGTAATCATAAAGATCACTGCCAGCATAACCACTACTTTCACTCAATTTTCCACTCTGAACACGATCAGCATCATCATCTGTCTCCTGATCAACTTCATTCTCTGCATCATGGTAACCATTTTCTTTCACATCAACATTATCATCATCAGTTGAATCTTCACTCCCACTGTTTTCTACCCGAGAATCAGCCGACATGGAACATCTCTGTATATTTTCTTCCTGAAACAGCACATAAACGCTCAGGATGCAGAATTGAATCAAGGAATGAAAATAACATTTTTAGAAGTGCAAAAATTTACAAGCACTGCCAACTGACCATGGAAAAATCACTGGTCACATGAACAGATTCAATTTTAGTTGCATTATAGGAAAAAATTATACTACAAGAGGTCAAAACCTTTTATCTCATTATACTACGGATCAAAATTTATAGCAACAGTTAACTTGATACACAAGTCCCGCATTATAAAAAAAAAATTGCATCTTCAGCACTAGCAAAAGAAGCCCATATTAGGACAAAAAGAAAGGTGAAGCTGAGAGTAATTAGGATACCTCAGGCTAAATAAAACAAATGCAGCAACTTGAAGTTACTTTTCCTAATTGTAAGCATACACAAACCACAAAGCAATTAATCAAAAGAATACAGGCTATTGAGAGTTTCTCACATCAAATATGTTCTCATACTCTTCCAACAAAGTGGTAATAATTGCTTGAGCATTATTAGCAGCATTAGCAGCAGCAAGGAGCTGAGCTGAACTATCACCACTGACATCAAATTCATCCTCTAGTTCACATTCTCCAGCTAGCAGAGGCCTTAAGAGCAAGGGTGCCATGCAAGCAGCAACAGCAGATGGAGTCATTCTATTCTCATTAGAATGAGAACCAATTGTGTGCATCATCTTCAGAATTCTGCAAAGAGATGACAATTAAATTATGGTGAAAAATTAAAGCACTTGTTTTTGTTTGTGCAATATGTATATTTGGCATTTTAGATTATACAAACGCAAATTCACAAGTTATGGCAGACCAAAATTTTAAGGTATTATTTACTACATATCAACATAATAACAATTGCAACAGGTCATTCCTCATTACCAAATACTATCATAGGTAACTAAAATTTCACAAAACTGAGGTTTGCTTGAGTTCAGCTTAGAGTAAAGATAGTGAAACACTAGTTTTGAGAACTTCCTTTTATAGCATCTATCAGAGGCTTTTGTTAAGGCCACGTGAACCTGAACAAACCATTGAAACTACCGAAACATACAGATTCTAATAACTTAAAAAGCAAACCATGCAGAAATCAAGAAAACCCAGTATACATTCTCTTCAAGAGCAGTTTTTTTAATTACTCCACCATAACTAATCCATTGCAAACTCAAATAGCATACAAGGATATACAGCAAATAGAGGAAAGTGTGTGTGCGTGTATCATTGCCCAGGCAGGGGGGAGAAGAGAGAAAGCACCTCTGCAACAAACGGCGATTTGGCTCTGGAAAAGTCTCCAATATAGCACAGCGCATTGCATTAATCCTAGCCTCTTTTCGGTCAATTTCTTGTAAAATAAGAACAGTAACAATTAACCAAACACAGGTTCCAATCCAAAGAACAAGAGAAAAGCAACAAAACTTAACAACTGAACAGTTCATTTAGGAAAATAACAAGTAATTTTGCATATCACAGATAAGAAGCAAATAAAGTTAAAGTAAGGGAGAAAATAGGTGAGATTTAAATAGGACCATCAATGATAGTAACTGACACCAAACACTCATTTGAAGTACAAACAGGATAGTTCTTACCATGAGTTATTTATCCCTAATAAACATTGAAAATATTTCCACTGTTATTCCATAATTTTCATTCTATAATCAAATCTAGATTCCCACTCAATATAAGTTTCTTTGTTATAATACAGTTGAATCATAAAATAAATAAATAATAAGACGAGAAAATAAAAGCATAAATAATCCGGGCAATCAGCAGCATTTCAAAGGAACCAAAATAAACCACCTCTTGAAACCGTATGGCTATAAAGAAAATAAACATAGAGCTCAACTTACTATAAGCCTCCAATAAAGCAGTGCAACATGAAGCTGGAACTGGGGAGGAGGGCAGCTCCCTCAGAACATGCTGTAAATAAGCCAGTGGATTGTCACTAAATAAAATGCATAATCCAACAGAACATTTTAAAAAACCAGGATACATATCAATTAGATTGATACTTGATAGTACCAAAACTACTGCTGCTTCCAAATCAGGCTTATATTAATGTTTTAGGCTGATGAACGAATGCATGATTGATTTCATGGCTTCAAAGCCTCAGCACTGAAAAACTATGAAAAAAACTGGTGCCCTTTTATTAATAAATTTTACAAAGTAAATCAGATTTAGTTTAGACTTAAGAGTAAACAGGCTTATAGACTAGTAGCTAATAGGTGATAAGTACTAGGATAAAAGGGGGTTTACTACTGCTGGTAATGATTTGTGCAATAAAAAATTAGGATTTGCTTACTCAGCTCTAGGTATTCAGGTATACTTGGTTTAATAATTGCTGCTGTGGTTTCTTTTAGAAGCACACAACAGCATTATAGGCTGGTCCTCTAGCAATTCTTGTCAGTACTTTCTTTAGTAGCTATTATGATACCATTATGCAAGTAGAGTTGGTGGTTTTAAGACTGGTTGTTAGAACATAATGGTTTGGTACTAGAAATCTTATCAAAATTCAACTCATTTTTATGCCCTTACTTCCCTTTCAGCATATAGTCTCTTTCAGAGTTTGTACTTGGTAGTAGACAGTAGAAATGAAGGGTGATTGAGCTCTTCTACACTAATCGGTAATGTCATCGTCAAATTTTGCTTTAATGGTTTTGTTTTGCCTTATTTGCTGCTAGTTTAAGGAGGAATTTTTGTCCTATCTCGTGTAATCAGTAATCCTTCATTCTATATGATAAAATTAACAGCAAAAAAGTTTCAGGAACACTTAAATTTTCCTTTACATAAAATCGAGATCAATAATTCTCTGTTTCCCACAGTAGGTTAGATAGCATCACCTTTCCTAGTGTTTGTTTAACATAAAGTTTGTTTGCTTTTTTTTTTTTGAATATTTATATTCATTAAATAAACAATTATAAAAGATAGTATAAATACCTTAACACAGTCACCAACAACATGGGCATCCTCGTCGGGACCAAACTCAGTTTTACCTGGAAATATCAATTAAAAATAAGGCATTCATAAGTCTCATGCATCAAAAAATAAATCCATACATTAAACTGAGAGTTTAATCCTGGATTTTATCTTGAATGGTTTTTCACCAGCAGAAGGGTTGAACTATGAAAACAATTATAATATTGGTTCCATTTAAAGGGAATCTGATTCTAAAAGTGGCTCCATACTTTTATTGAAAAAGTACACAGTGATGCTTGGTTAGAAATCTCTTTGACTTCTAAGCATATACTTGTCTTTTTCGTTAATAAGGATTTATGAAAGTTAGATTTCCTTTCCTCTATTTTTCTCTGCTTGCTGTTTCTATGAAGCCAACTAAATTTATTAATACTATCTTCCTACTTCAAACGCATGTAGAGCGCTAGGCTAGGGCATTTAAGATAATTGTCTGTACCTTGTTCGTACTCTTGAACTCTTCGATCTACTTCCTCAACATCTGCAGATTGCCGCAGGATTCCTTCAACTTTAGTTCCTACAAATTAAAAATAATAAAATCAGTAGAAACCCTTCACTGAAAAATAGGGTAGAACATGTTTCATGCATTCAACATTTTTTCTGTTTTATGCTGTCAGATACATTTACAACATGCCATATCAACATTACAAGAAAGGCACTCAAATTATTAAACTAAGGAGTCTTCTGCTTTTCTGATAAACAAGCTAACATGTCCAGTGTGCTTCAACAAATGCACGCCAATGTTACACTATAAAGATTAAGCAGTTAAATTAACAACATTTAAATTCACGGGCTATTCTCCAAAGGGCCAAGGTTGAAGAGGGAATTTGCATTTTAATGTAACAAGAACAATAAACTATAAGCAAAATAACCAGCGCAACATGATCTCCAGTTGAACAAGATATTGGAAAAATTTACTAATCTGGCAAGGCCAACTAGCCAAAAATTCTGAACTGATTACTGAGAAAGTGAGAAATAAAAATTAAGTAACTCATAAAATTTGAAATGTGGGAGGACAAAAAGTAAAATGAAATGCAGATGCATTTCATATGTAATATGAGATCATAACTTACCATACTTCTCTAGAAACCGAAGAGCTTTTTCAAGGAAAGATGGGCCTCCATCAATATCTTCTAATGCTAGAAGAATTGGTCTTCCAACAACCAGAGACTTAATTGGACGCTTGTCCCTCCCTGGAATCACAGCACAAAAATATAGCGAAAATGAGGATACATTCTTTTTTTTTGGAAAAAAAATTGGGATGACAAAAAACTGTACTATTCTATAAAAAAATGTTTAAAAATTTAAAACAAAAGCACACAGAATCCTACAGCAACACACCCAAAATAACAGAAACAACACCAGAATTGACATAACTAATATCATGGTAGTAAGTATCGGATGTATCGCTATTCGTATCGTACGATACGATACGATTCCGAGCTTCCGCGATACGAATCGCAAGTTGTCTCGTTTTTGATTAAGAATCGCATGTGAATCGTGCGTATCGTTGCGTGAATCGGAAAAATCGCGATTCTGGACGAAATCGCACGATTTCGAAACAGCGGGTCACGCCTCGAAACTGGATCGAGTCACGCGCGACCTGATTCTGGAAACCCTAAAAAAAATGCAGAAAAGAGAGGGAAAGTGCCGATCCTCCACCGATCTGTCTTCTTCTCCGACGAATCTCCGTCGATCTATCTTCTCTGACAGCGACTGTGTCTCCTCCGGCGGTGACTCTGTCATCTCCGGCATATGCAACCTGTCTTCTTCAAAGAAAAGTTGGGCCAAATGGGCCCAAATTTTATTTTATCTTTTGATTTGGCCTTCACTATTTTTTTTTTAAGAAGGTAACTTCTCTTTATTATTAATTATTATTATAATTCAGATAATATTTTAAGTAATAAAAAATTTAATATAAAACCTTAAATATTTTGTTTTCTTAATTTTTTTATTATTTTGTTTAACTACTATAAATTTTAATTATTGAAATTATTTAATGTATAAATTAAGTTATGTTTCTATTTTTATATGTATATCATTAATTATATGTATTATAAATTATTTAATATTTATATATATATGTAAAAATAAATAAATTAGAATATATTTATATATTATTAACTATATATTAATGTATGATTTTATTTTTTTATATTTGTTTATATATATATATATATATATGTTTTTATTGATCATGAATCTTACGATTCACGATACGATTCGATTCACGATTCAAAATATAAGCTTTCCGATACACTATTTGTATCCCGATTCAACTACCATGACTAATATAAGCTAATAAACATCAAATAAATCAATAATGCATAATGAGCACATACATTGATGGAAAGACCCTTCAATGGAATCACTTGCATCACTCCGAAAAATTCCATTGTGTCCCATAACAAGGGCAGCATTTGGTGCTTGTGCAAGGGCTTGTTCAAGAGCTGTCTTCCATTCGAACAGGTCTTCTGATGTCTCAGCCTGATATTTGAGCAAATCATTGGAATTTATATGGGCCAACAATTAATAAAGCATCTAGTAGTCCAATTTAATTTAATTTTCATTTGCTTAAAAATATAATAAATGAATCACCTTAAGGGTGAATGCCCGCCCATCACGTCCATCTGGAAATAATACTGTAAGAAGTTTTTTGTCTTCCCTCACAACAACACTGGAAATAAAATTCACAATTTTAAGGCAGACCGCAGATCAATCATCAAAATTTAGAACTACAAATAGTAAATTTATCGAACATACCTCCCTGAATTGTTCAAGTCAATACCCCCCAAAGTCAGGTTTACTTCACCACCTCTCTGTGGAAGGGCACTCTACACAACCAATCAAAGTAAAGACAATTATAATAATGACAACAAAAGTAACTCTGATATATTTAAGTGAAAGAAATCAACACAGATAGATAAAGACTCCTATAGCATTACCCAATGCTCCATAGGTCTACAGTCGCATCTTACTCTCCAGTAAGAATTAAATAAATTGCCAATTTTCAAAATTAATCAGCACAAAGCATATCCATAAAATGTTCATTAATTTATATGTAAAGGAAAAATTTGTCTGCAAAATCATGATAACCATATCGGCTTAATTGAGAGTTGAATCACACAGAACAACAGGGAAAAAAAATTAGACATAAAAATATCCAACTAAAGACCTTAACAGGAATAAGAAAGATTTGAGAGATACTAACAGGATCATTTTTGAAAAAAACCAATGACGTGCGAGTGAGTATAAACCACCGCTTCTTCCAAGACTTCCAGCCTATTCCTACAGTAGATCAAAATGGGAAAACAGATTAATTCCTATATCATTGATTTATTAAGATATAATACATACCATTCACACAGAACATAAGCTATCAAAATAAACTCATCTATCATCTCAAGAGAATAAGAAAATATGTGAAAAGCAGAGAGAAAAATAGGGACACCAACCTTTAGAAGATATGAAAAGTGGGCCACTTTTAAAAACCTGCCAAATAGTAACCTCTGTTAGGAACCACAAGGTAACTTCTGATTAAGAAATAAAATAAGTGTGACGTATGCATCATTCTCCCCTGCCCCAAATTCAACTTTTCCTTTGGTTAATACTAATAGCACTATATTTAGCAAAAGCGTACATCAAGATCATATCATAATCATTTAAAAACAGTATAGCTTCTTCAGATTTACCAACTACCCTACATTGTTTCACTAGTTTTTCCTCATTATGACAATGTAGTTCAGCAAATGGCTCTGTTAATGAGTTTTAATCAATTGCTAAATTGCTCAACATTCTTTCTTTTCACTAGTCTCACCTGTCAATCTGTTTGGTATATACTTTCATCCTCCAACTGTTAAACCCCTTCTTAAATTTAACAAAACAGTAAACAAGTAAAGATGAGTTTTGAGTTACTAATTTCAGCCTCCAACATGTCAGCAACTACCAATCACATTGCCCACATAAATCCTTTCATTGCCACGAAAACATGTGAAAGTTTTCATAAACTAAACTAACATGCAGTGAAATTTCCGAACAAAAATTCAAAAGAAACTAATAAAAAGAAAAACTAATCAAGTAGAGTAAATTTCAGTTAAACTAACCTAATACTTCACAGCCTATGAAATTAAAAACGCTTATTTTAACTGGACCAAGCTAAAATACACTCTGCACATAGCTCCTCATCAAACTCAACACTTGCAAGGAAAACAAACCACCAAGACCAAATTCCACTTCCCCATTTCCATCATCAATATTGTCAAGGAAACCAACACATACAAGGTTCAAACCAAACGTGTCCCAGTTCAGTCAACAAATCAATTCCTTTACAAATCACAACCTTTCTCTCAAACTCAAATTTTCATTTTCCTTATCTACAATCTGCATTAGCTCAAAATCAGATTTTTCAACAAAAAATCAAAATAACATCCCCTCCAAAACAAAACATACCGTATTAGAAGCCCCAGGCCGAGGTCGCTCAAAAGCCGCTAAAGAAGCAGACATTTCCACACAAACACAGTGTCACTGAACTACCAGCATTGCCCCTCACAGTTCAAACCCATCACCCAAAAAAAAAATTAAACTAAAAATAATCCCTCAACATTTGAAAACCCCACAAAACCAATCACAGTTCCCTATTGATTCAACCCATCAGAGAGATCCACCAGTGAGTTCCAACCCCAACAGCCACAACACCAAAATCGCTGAGATCTGACCCCAAAAGCCTTGAACTTTCAGCCCCTAGGGTTCAAAATCCAAACTTTATTCCACCCCAAAAGGAAACACAACAAGGGCAAGTGCTCCCCCCTTCTGGCCCTCAATTTTCTGTCACTTTCTCGGCGATTTTCTGGCAGTTTCTGAGGAGATTAGGTGGGAGGAGGAAGCAACAGTGGTTGTGGAGGTAATGTGAAAAATGTTAAGAGAAGGGTTCTTTGCTTTTCACCTACTTCTGGTGTCTGGGTGTGCTTGGGAAGGTAGAGAGAGAAAGAAGGGTAGAGAGAGAAGGAGAGGGATAGAGGGTAAGGCCATTGGGTCCGATATAGTCAAGTTTAAGTCTTGTCAGGTAACCCTCCAATCAAGATGCGACACGTCAGCAACATAACAGAGTTAGTGCTTCTAAATTATGAATGTTACCTAAACACATAAATAATGGTCTCATGGATGGTTGGATTTTGGTTTGGGACAGTCATTCTAATTCAAATTCATTCACCTCCTTTAATTTTTTATGAACTACTATGTAACAATTAAAAAGATTACTAAAAAATTGGTATGAAATAAAGTTTTAGAAAAAATATAGATTAATTTTAAAGATTGTACAAATAATATATGAAGTTTAGGTTAGTACAGTATGTCACTGAAATCCTGTTTTGACATCTAGAATCTAGTATCAATTAAACTATTTGAGTTTTGAGTTTAAAATTATAATATAAATTTTATGTAATGCCGGTTTAAAAAACTTACATCCTCAATCAATTCAATTATAAATCATTATGAATATAATCTCTAAAGTAATTACAATTATTGGTAATTAACAAATTTATGACATACAATAATAATAATTTATATTTAAATAATAAAATGAATAGTCATTTTATCTATATTTAATACTTACTATTTTGTTGTCTTCAAATTTAATTAAAAATTCTTTTTAAATTTTAAATTAATGTGATAGCCATTTGCACTTTCAAGAATCCAACTAATATCTTTTGTTATTAGAAATTATTATGACAGTACTTTCTAAATTAAAGACCAAGATAAGTATTTACGATAATGATAATGTGAAATTTCCTTAATAGCATGCATTATTAGCTCTAAGATTAATATTAATTTAGGATGAAAATGTTTAATTTCACTAATGGGTAGAGTTGGGGAGAAAAATAGTAGAGATAATGTAGTGGAACATACATCTCCCTGTTATTGCGTGATTGCCTTCTGTTGTGCACATGACCCATCTAAGCTCTGTCATCAACACACCTACAATAATACCCTCTTTTTTTATTACTTTTCTTTCAAAGGGAAAATACGCCTTATCATGAAATCGACTTGAATTTACATGTTCAAGTGTTCAACAACTGTTTTTATGATCAATTAATGCAATAAAGGGGATGTTTTAAGTCAAAACAAATATTATTATGCCAATGGAAAAGAGACACTTGATTAAGTTTTAAAACTTATAAATAAAATAGTGTCAACAAAAAATAGATAAATTGAATTGATAGTTATGGATGATTACTTAACCATTCATACAATATCATCTTTCAAACTTCTATCTTTTATATTTTCTTTCTGTACTTGTAAAATTTATGATACAATTTGTTTTGAGAAGGGATGGTTTAAGTCGTAAAATGTAATAAGAAAGCTGTTTATTTTATAGGAAAGATAAAATGTTTGCACGTGATGTCTCTTTGTTTTTATTTTCTTTAATATTAACAGTATCAAAATTGATTTAGCATTTCAAAGTTCAAAGGGATCATTAACTCAGACTCGAAAAGTGTGAGAATTGCCACACAAGACGATAGAAAAGTTTATCATATCTTATTTCAACTCCTTTCTACAGAAATCATTTTGAACATGCCAAGTGAATTATCTCTTTTCTTATTTCTTAGTTTTTTTAATCAGCATGCCAGCAAGGCATGAATAAAGAAGAACACTTCCACAATTTCTTTTAAAAAACTAAAAAAGGCAAAAAGGGAATGAAAAAGAAACACCCATGTAGTCATAATTATGGCTTTGTATTAGAGCCATCTACCCTTCTTTTATTTTGTATTTTTCTGGTCTTTTCATTATGAAAGAAGTTGTCAAAGTTAAAATGATCCATTTATTGAAGCTTAGCTTACACTGCAACAAACCCATTGCACGTATATATTTATAAAATAAAAATTAAAAAAAAAAAAAAAAAAAAGTGTGACATTTGATTGGTGTTTTGTCTGATTGAGCACTTGGCATTGGCTCGTGCGGTGCAAGAACGTGGGACAGAGTGGTTGAGGGGTGACCGGCTATAAAGGTAGCCGGTGGAATGCTGTTCTGGACAATTTGTCTGCTTCCATGAATGAATGAATGAGGTTACACTTCTTAGCCTTTGTCTTTTGGGCACCTTTTTCATGTCACATTCTTACACCATCACCTCTTCTGGCTACCCTTAACCTTAATCAAAGGGTGGTCCAATTTCACTGCCAATCCATATTATCAATAACAAAAAGTTTAATATATGACACATCTTAATCATAGTTTAATATGTGGCACTGTATTATCTTTCAAGATAATTATTATAAAAATTAACATGTTTAATAATCCAACGTGTATCTTTAAATTCTTTAATGAATCTCACTTGTATATATCACATACTTTTTGCATTTTATTATAATTTAAACAATTACTCTCTCTAATCCAACTTTACTTTTTTACACATTTTAAATGGGTCTCATTATCACACTTTTTTTATCCCTTTAATGCATCTCATGTGCTTACTGCCACAGAGAGTTTTTATTAGAACCATTTCTTAATAAGTTAAGAGGAGTTTAGGATTTTTTATAAGTATTCTTTTTATTATAAATGATAATTTGTGATTAAATGATAATATAAAATTATAATATGTAAAATGTTACAAGGAACACAGAAAGAAGTAAAGGAAAAGAAAGATGGATTATAATAAGTGAAACTCTTTGGCCAAACTTATTATGAATGGGCTAGAGGTAATATTGGTGAATGGCAAAGCCATGGCATGAATTAGGGAGAGGCCAAAAAGGTTAAAAAGTGCAAAAATAAAAAAATAAAATAAAAAAAGTTAAAATGAGAAGACATATGTTAAAAAAACACACCCACTGAGAGGGATATGTCAGGTGGTATATAGGCCACTAGTGCTTTGTACACAAGGATAGAACAACACAAAGGGAATGTTACAGCCTTATAAAAACATTTTCCTTTTTTTTAGAAAAAAAAAAAAAAAAAAAGCTAAAAGTATCATTACAAGTATAAAAAGAAATTAAAATGAGCACAAGATGTACCAATTTTAAGACTTGAGATAAAACATTTTCATAATAATATTTATAAATATTGTTGATCTAGAAGCAACGATCTAAGGAACAAACTAAAACGTGTTAAGATAAGGACACGTTTTTTCTGAAGATTTATTCCCGTGGTATGTATATATCTCAAGATCTAATAGGCCTTCCAAAATAGATGAAGATATCCAAAATTGGCAAGTAAAAGAGAAAGAGAATGAAGACTTTTCAGTTTGAAAATGATAATGAAGCAGCATCCATATATAATTCAAGTTAGTCAATCATGTATCTCATTTTATTTTATTAAATCTTACATTGTCATATCACTTTTAAGTGACATATAAATGATTTATTACATTTTTATTTTAATAAGCAAATCTTTTCTAAATATGAGTTATCAAAAATATTTTCCTAAACTTGATGGTGTAAAAATGTTTTTTTATTTATAAGCTCTCATATCTTATATAAGATATAAAATTTAAATTTAAGATATAGTTTTTTTTTTTGTAAAGGATGAAAACTAAAAACAGCAGACCACTCAAGACATAGAGTCTCTCCATAACTGTAACAGTACAAACTCTGGAGAACTCCTCCAAAATACATTGGAACCTATGTTCCGTCCACCCCAATTAGCCAGCGTATGTGCTACTGAATTAATCTCTCGAGGGATATGACTCACATAAACAACCCAATCCCTAGCTAGAATGCGCTTAATACGACGAATCACATCATAGTGTTTATGCAAGTAATCTCTATCCGTTGGTCGCTCTTGAAACAGCGTAACAGCTCCCAGGCAATCACATTCGCACGTCACCTTCTGAAACCCACCTTCCCAACAAAGCGTTAAACCATCCTCCAAGGCCAATAACTCGGCACGTAACGCATCACCATGTAAAGCTCCACGCGAGAAACCCCCCCGCCACATGCCTGCCCAATCTCGAATTGCGCCGCCCATCCCCATAGCATAAGATCCAGTCAACCAACTCCCGTCCGTGTTTAGTTTAACCCACGGATGCTCCGGAGGCTTCCAAAGGGCTGACTCCTCCCCTAAGCGCCTATTCACGTTAAACACACTGTTCTCCACCAGAGACAGTGTCACCTTCCGACGGACCGCCGAAATCGTCCAAAGCTCATCGGTAAACAACATGTTATTTCTAAGCCGCCAAACCCACCATAAAGTGATGGAGAGCCTAATAGCATCCTTATGCAAAATAATCCCTTTCAGCCACTGGAAACAATCCATTACCGAGAAAGCCCACCCCACACTGATCCCACCAGACACCAGCACCTCCCGCGAAGACAGGCAATCACGAAGTGCATGTAAAATGGTTTCGTGAGGGCAAGAGCAACGCGAGCATGCACCAGAGTCGGCCAACCTCCTATCCGCCCGAACCTGATTTGTTGGAAGAGCTGAATGAAGGCATTGCCACAGAAAGAAC